GGTGTCTCTGCAGCACTCACGGCTGCGCTGAGCTGCTGCACTAGGGAATGGAGAAAATCCGCGGAAACCAAAGTCGCGGTATATCCGCGCGGTGGCCGTTTCGGGCGACCTTTCGCCGCCGCTCCAGCCGCGACTCGCGCAGCTACGGCTTTTGTTTGCCAAAATCCCGATGTCTGCTCTGGAGCTCGATGGCTCCGATTTCATGGGAGCCTTGCTCGGTTTCTGGTTCAGTTTTCCTACTAAGACCGAGGGAGAGATTCATATGTCAGGCTACGGGGGGAAATACCTTAACAACTACAGCGATGTTTCGTTTTCCCTAATGAGTAAGACAGGGACGATTCCAGCTACCACTAGGCCTTGACCAATTATGTGCGCATAGGGAAGTCGGTTTTCGCCTGCGTGGCTACGTTCCCAGTCGGCCCCGGGAGAGCGACGCTAACGGAAACTTCTTAAGGAGTATTTTAATTTTATTCTCTTTGTGTGGTAATTAAAAACAACTACCTCAGCAGCTCTCTCCTGGATAAATACTAGCCTAAGAAGTGCTCCGCTTGGGTGTAAAGGTCTCCGACGTGCCTTCCCCTCGCGAGCAGCCCGTGTTTGCAGCTGTCGGCACCATCACGGCTTTCCCTACGGCAGGGTCCGTCGGTACCATGCCGCGCCCAGCCTCTGCCGCAAATGCAGCAGAGGAAAGAGGCTTTGCCCTGCCCGGACATCAAACATGCTGGTGCCGCCGGCACGAGTATTATTTTGAAAAGCGATGGTTTTTTGCGCGTCTTGCGACTGGTGTTCTTTAAACGCGCAGCCCCAGACCCAATCCTCCCTGAACACTAGGGGTGTCGGTGTATTTATGCAAATCCACGCAGCAAAATATTTACTTCACCGCTTTGTTGCAGCTTCCCCTCCTTTACAACCTTTAACCAACGAGGCGAATTAAATAAAACCAAGAACAATAGCTTCTCTTGCTCGTGCCTCCCTCTAGAGAGCTGGCGCTTTGCAGGAGTGGAAACGTGCCTGCCTCGTTGGCAGGGAGGGGGGGAAGAGGAAGGGAAACGAAATGAATCAAACCCGCCCTACAAATCCAGTCCCCGTGGACGGCGTTTCCTCCTGCGTCGGGTGCGTTCCCGGGAGCAAAGCGGTGGGTGCAGGAGAAGGGCCCAGCTCCGGTGGACTCGGCGGCAGCCGGCACCTCCTCGGAACCCTGGCTATGATTTTCCGAGCGAGGCCTCGGCTCGGCCCCGGCCTTGCCGGGAGCATGCTCGTTTCTGGGCAGATAATAGAAATATGTCGTGTTTGTCCCAGTGTCTGGCGCGTCCGTTCGATTTCTTTCATGGAACCATCACTCAGGGGGTGTCAGGCGATGGGGAAAAATGACACAGATATCTTGGTAGGAATTTATATCTCATCCCTCGGCCCTCTGCCTGATGCTCCTAAAAAGGACTGCTCTCGGCCGTCCTGTTTCATACCGCGCTCTGCGGGACCTCGCTGCAAAGCAGGAGCAAAGGGAGGGAGGACAGAGGGGGAGAGAAATTAAACCGTTTTACTCAACGGAGCGGACCTCTCCACCCATGGCTGCGGGAATCGTTCAACAAGCTCTTTCCTCGGCTACTTCCTTCGCTAGGAAACGCGCCCGAGCCGTATGATTTAGGGGGGGAAAGGTCCTTCTCTCTGTCTATGCAAGTTTTGGGACCCCCTAGCCATTAAAGCCCCCTAGTAACCCCCATGAAAGGCCGTAAAAGCTTTCCATTTCTCTACTCGTCCACCATCCAAGGGGGACGCTAGGCCTTGCTTGTCCGTGTCTTGCGTGACGGGGCTAGAAGCCCCGGCCGGTGGGAAGCAGCCCTGCGGCAGGAGTGGGGCCAGCGTGCTCGTCGGGCCCGTCTCCCTCCAGCCGGGCCGGCAGCAAACGCCTTCGCGGAGAAAAGGGCCGTGTTTGCCTGCAAACGTTCCCTGCGCCGCCGCCCCGCAGCCCGCTGTGGGGAGCAGGAAAAGGCGAAGCAGGGCCCCGGTGCACACGTCGGGGGCTTCCTGGGCCAGCTCGCAGCGTGGACTCAGCTCGCAGGTGGGGCCGCAGTCCTCGCTGGCCGCTGCCTCGATCACAACCCTGCAGTATCCGAGCGAAAAGCAGGTTTTGTATGCAATGTGCCGTTCCAGACCCCACAGAAACACCCGGAATCGCAGGACGGACGGTGGAAAGGCACAGGGGAGAGTTAGTCTAGACCCGTGGAGACTCTGAAGGTTAGTGTAGGAGTGGATTACAAAAAGGATATCGGGATGCTGATACACTTTATAATTGAATAAATTTGGTTTATTTTAATCAAATATCATAGCAGAAGGTTAAAGATATTTCTAAGATATTTTCTTCAATTTTATTAAATTTATATAATTTATTCAACATAAGAACAAGAGTTAAAATAGTACAAGTGCACTTGTCTTGATTAATAAAGCATTCTTAAATGTCTTGCTTATTGGTATTTATTATTAGGAAGTTTATGTCGTTTCCCGCAATCACCATCTTTTAAGATTGCAAATATATATATATTTATATATAATTAGAAATTTATTGCTACAAACTCTGTATCAAATTTGCAAAAATAAGTAGATGAAATGTTAAATCTAGAGATTGTTCTGAATACGCTTATAAACAAAATAAAGCCATAAACAAGTGAAGCACCCGAAGAAAGGAAATGTCAAGTGGAGGGACACGGGGTCACTCGTCCTACGGCAAGATCACGTACAGCGGTAGATGAACCGAGATGTCAGGCTACGGTCCTGGTTATTTTTGATTGCCTTTCACGAAGAGTTTTAGGGCAAAAATTAATTTGTCTGGCCTTCAGCTCTGTCTTCTTCTAGATCATGTGCTTCCTTTTTGGCCTCCCCTTCCTTTCCCTCCTGTCTGGAAGCGGGGAATTTGTCCTTGTTGTTCTCTTTTTTCCATTTCATCCTTCTGTTCTGAAACCAGATCTTTACCTGCCTCTCGGTGAGTCCTAGTGCATGGGACACCTCGATTCTCCTCTTCCTGGTCAGATAGGGGTTAAATAGGAACTCCTTTTCCAGCTCTAGAGTCTGGAATCGGCTGTACGTTTGCCTTCCTCTCCTCCTACCAGGCGCTGCTGTTTAAAACAAAAACATAGGGATTTGGAGGTTGGTGTGGCCGTTCAAAACAAGGCGTAGGCAGGGAGCGAGGGCTCCGGTCCCTCTGGAATCCCTCGAGAGAAGCCCCATAGAACCAAAGGGAGAGAAAACAGAGGGCACGAAGGAGTCTAGAGCTTTACATAAGTGAGAGAAAAACAGCGATAGCAAATGCATGAAGTGTCTCAGCTGTTCCTCTGCACGGGGGGTTGCGAATTCACTTTATGGTCTTTTATTCCATCCTCCCCACACCGCTTTCCGGCCCTGCACCCTTCCCGTTCAGGCAGCGGCGACGGGAGACGAGCGAGCGTGTCAGCTATGCCTCAGGGTTCGAGAGGCGCAGCCTTAAAGACTAATCTTGGGTTGGTAGCTGCCTGCTGCAGAGGTTTCTGTTTGCTTACTCTATCGCTTTATTATCGCAAGCCACCGCAGTAAGAGGAATCGCGGGGAGAGAGGTAGGGAGTGAGGGAGACAGAGGCAGGGAGCGAGAGTCAGCGAGAAAGAAGCGGGAGGAGGAAAAGAAAGTTTCAAACTCAGACGTGAGATGGAAGCAAATTTTTGACTGCGTCCAACCTTGTGGTCTCATCCAGGGAAACATTTGAGCAGGAGACGAGCTCTGATTTAAGTGGTCTGGTTCCTCGCCAATATTAGCACTGGACGATTTACAGTCAGGATATTGTACCAGCTCGGCCTCTTGCTGTGTCGTAAAAATCTGCTGTCTCTGTAAGTTATCGTATCCGTAAAATTTAGCGGGCTCCCCGTGACAGGTAACCCCGCTGCAGGGGGCAGGAGGCGGAGGCGCGGCGGGGGGAGGAGGAGGCGGCTGGTAGGCGGCCGTGGGGCTCCCCCCGGCCGGGTGGTAAAAGTCCGCGGCCGCGCCGCCGCCGCCCCCCACCCCGCCGGGCGCGGGGTGCGGGAAGCCGGCGGCGGCCGCGCCGTTCCCGTAGAGCAGAGCGGCGGCAGCGGCGGCGGCGGCAGCGGCGGCGTGTCGGCCGCTCACCTCGGGTGCGAAGTGACAGTCGTAGTACGGGGAATTGATGTGCTCCCCCGCCGCCGCCGCCGCCGCCTTGTACTTGGAGTACAGCGGGTTGACAAAGTAGGAGCTCATCGGGGAGGGGGCAGCGGCGGGCGGGGGCGCGGGCACGGGGCGCTGCTCACGCCGCCGCCGCCGCCGCCGCCGGTGCCTCTACGCCGCGCTCATGCCGCCGCCGCCGTCGCTGGCCCGTGCGCTCCCCGCTCCTGCTCTCCGTGTATGTGGTGACCAGGACTGGATTATAATCGCTCCCAAAATGACCTGCCTCACTGCTTTTACTATTTCCTATTAGGCACACAGCAGCCCGCGCACGCAAACACACACACACACACACACACACACACACACACACACACACGCTCATGAGCTCAGGGGGGACTTTTGGCTTCAGTTTACATGTGCCGCTCCTCGGGCAAGAAAAAAGCCCGGCCCAGCCCTGCCCGGATCCACCCCGGCCGCGGCACCCCCGCTCCCCCACCGGTGCGCGCTCGCCAGGAGCTGCTGAAACCCCCGTCGCGCAGGGGCGAGGCGGCCGCGCAGATCCCGCGCGATAACCGCGGGCGCGCGGCCCGGGGCAACACTGCCCGGCTCGCCCAGGCTGTACTGCCCGGAGCGCGGCCTGAACCGCCGGCCGGCAAGGGCATAGCCCCTCCGAGGGAGCCGATGCCTGGCGAAGGGTCTCGGGGATGTCGGTGAAGGCATCTGGGGGGCCAGAGGGGCGGCAGCGTGCAGCGGCCGGGCCCCATTGCCAGAGGGCCCTCCGGGTCATTTCCTTGCAGGCGAGCAGATAGCTGGGGAATGAGATGCAGATTTGCCCTTGACGCTGTGCACGCATGGCTGAGGCTTCAGGTTAATTGATACTTAATGGAAATCATGCCTATGAATATACTTTCCATCATTTCACCCTTGGTGGACGTCATTACCGAGGGAAAAAAGAAAAGTGTGGGTGAGTGGTTAGTATCGCTCGGGGACTCGGTCCGAAATAAGCGAGCCCTGTTCTCCGGCAGGAAGGAAGGAAGAAAAGAGCTGCCCGGCAGGCTCGGCGCTGCCCCCGCTCCTCGGGCCGACCACCCCCGCTGTCCCCCGCGCCCCAAGAGGTATCGTCTCCAGTCCTCTCTTTCCTGCTTCGTCCTGCAGTGGGAACCAGCTTTTCGGACAGACATCCTCATGAGCTCGAGTCCTCCCTATTTTGGAGAGAGACGAAAAATGTAGGTGAAATATAATACAGGCCCAGCCAGAGCCATGTGTGACCATCTGATGTGAATTGACAAAAAAATATTTGCGGTTACATAAAAGGCATCACAGGCTCCTTCCCCATCACACCCGCTCTCCCACCACCACCCCCGCCCCCATGACGATTAACCCGCTATGTCCAGCTGACCAGCCCGGCTGCCCCGCATGTGAGCACCCAGATGGGCCTGTGCCCGCAGCGACACCCTCGCCCGGGCAGGGGCCCCGGGACCCGGGGCGCACGCCTTTGGGAACTTGCAGAGGCTTAGGGACCCCCATGTAGCCCGGAGAAAGGCGGGGAAGGCGGGAGAGGCCTAGGGACGCACACACAATGATTTTTGGTACTACACGGACCGCCAGCAGCAAAAGCCCTTCGCCAGACACCAAGGGGAAGGTAGGAGGCCGGGCCAGGCAGGGGGGAGCGGCAGCAGAGCGATAGTGCCTCACCCCGCGGAGGGGCACGGAGGGGTAGTGGCTGCTTCCCGCATCCGCCCCAGAGACCCACGCCCCTCCTCATGCGCAGCCCGGGGGGGCGTTAATTCCGCGGGACAGCGCCGTGCCCGGCGCGGGGCTGCGGTGACGGGGCCGCGGTTCCGCGGGCCGGGGGCGCTGCGCGGACCCTGCGCGGGGCGCGGCGGCGCCGCTCGGGTGGAGCGCGGGCGCCCTCTGGCGGCGCGCGGCGGTAGCGGCAGCAGCGCCCCCGCCCCGCTCTGCCCGCGCTGCCCGCGCTGCCCGCGGCCCCTCGCCCCTGCCCCGGCCGGTGCCGCGCCACAGGCGCGAACGGTGGGGCCGGTGATGAGCGACTGTTCCTTTGCTTTCTGTTTTTTTCCTGGGTTTGGGTTGGGTTTCTTCCTTTTTCTTCTATTTTTTTCCTTTTTTTTTTTTTTTTTTTTTTTTTTTTTGGTTAAGTGTTTACAGTACCATTTTCTTAGCACATTTCGGTGACCCTCTTTTATTTTTTTATTTTTTGTCAGAGCTATAATGAACTGCATACAAAGAACGCGCCTCGTTTACACATGGCAACCAGGAAAGGACGCCTGAGCTTTGAAGATGCCTGCTATCGCGTTTTCGATCATGTTTCCCCACATATTACACCACGAATTCTCCATGTGTGGTAGCTTCAGAGTTATACGTTTTTGTCTTGAAGATGTTATTTTGTTTTCCCTTGCTTTTATGTATTTATGAATTGATTTATGTAAACGAAAGTAAAGATGAATCTTTGTTCACTCCCTCCTTCACCACACATGCCTGTGAATTATTCGGTATAATGCGTGTGCACGAGACTGTGCATATGTGCAAACATATATTAACACAACCAAAGGGTAGGAATTAAATTATTCAGTTTGATAGTAAAAGTAATTTCCATAGAAGAACTGCATTCCGTCATTCAAGAGAGACGCTTGGTTTTCTTTCTGCTATTTTGAAATAAACGTACGCCATATTAAACACAGGTAAACAAAAGGGAAAAAAAAACACAAGGTAAAATCTGCCAATCTTCCTGATATAAAATATTAAAAAGATGGTTCGAGTTTGGTGAAAATTTATTAACAGAGACTCTGCTGGAATCAACATAATGGACTGTTGTGTAGAAGAATATTGTTTACGTGTTGTTATAGATCATCCCCCTCTATGGGTATTTTCGAAAATATAGAGGCTGGCATCGTAGAATTCATTGCAGTAGAATATCCGGTAAAATACATTTCAACAAATAAGTGGACTTTGTAAAATCTCTCAGTTCCATGACCTTCGGGTCTTTTTTGAGTCTGTTGCCTTGGCCCAACGCTGACATATTGAAATTTATAGTCCAAGGTTTTAAGACCTAGTTTGTCTGCATTTTTTGCCTTTTTTCCCCCCTAACAAACACAAACATCAAAATAAGGTGGTTTCAAAGAAAAGTGCCATAGCATATCGTAAACTCATTAGGTCCAGACGTCTAGCCATCTCAATGGTTTTATTATACCTCAGTTCTTCCTGTTTTAAAAGAATTATAGGTATCTTCTCGACAATGGATGGGAAGCAATGCAACACCTTTTCCTGGCAGTGCTTGCTTTTGCCTTTTTTCCCCCCTTCTTTTTTTTACAGAGGTAAAAAACATTAAACACCAGGTCTCTCAGCTGTCCCCTTAATCTTGAATTAACCGAACTGCTCGTAAATATTTACGGGTCCTTCATTTTAATGGTTGCTCTTTAAACAAAGCAATTTTTTTACAATGAACTTCATCTCAATTATCTTGATAAAGTCATGTGTGTTTATAAATGCAGAAGGCATGAGGCGCGTTGCTAAATGAGCTCTAGCCAACAAAGCCGAACGTTTGGCAGCAGCCGTGTCCCCCCGGAGCTTCCAAGCCTCCCGTTTTAAGAGCACAGAGACTGGAAGCGACCCACCGGGAGGGGACAAAGAAAAATAAAAGGAATAAAAAAATAATGTTTAAGCGAATAGGCATAATTTTGCTTCCTTGGTTCCTGAGGACCCATGTGGAAATATCTCCTACATGATCCCAAGAGATCGCCAACGTTTGAAAGAGCGCTGGTACCTGAGGCCCGGGAACGGTACGGCGGCGGACGCACCTACCCAGCCTCTCCGCACTGACCCCTAACAGCAAATGTCTATTAGGCGAAGCGGAGGAAAAGTGACTTTCCTCTGGCCTTAGCGGCTGCCAGAGGCCGGGCTTTCCCGCGGCCCCGGCCTGGTCGCGCTCGGCCTGCGGGGGCTGCGCGGGGGCTGCGTGGCAGGGTCGGCGGCGCAGAGGGCATCGCGAGGGGCGCACAGATTTCTCCTCTCACTGCAGGGCTGTCGTTCGGTCACGGCAGACTTTATTGTGTAATAACTGACAACAATTACAACAGGTCCGTAGTTCGAGACACGGAGTGGTTAATTAATACAACAGTCACCGGGGGCAGGGGTGGCAGCTAGCCGGGGGACCAGGAGGCATGAGGCCTGTGGTGAGCGGCTCCGAGGGTGAGACAACTTCCTAATAGTGCACTAAAGGCTTGGGGGGGGACAGCTCGTGGCCTCGCTGTGGCATCTATTGCGAAGGATTCAGACCTAGAAAGCAGAGGTTTGGGAAAGATTTCCTCTTAATAAATCGTGGACAGCACAGCAACCCCCATTGATTTAAGTGGCTGTAATTTAATATATGTTTTATTATCGTAATTATAGTTAATTTCCTTACCTTTATTTTGGCGAAATAACTATCTAGTCTACATCACTTTTAAGAAACATGTCAAACATCTAACATCAGATAGAGTTCCCAAAGCTAACGTGCACTCACAATATCATCATCTAAACGGTGTGGGAAGGAAGAGGGGTGGTTTAAGCGACTCTGCAAAACACGTTGGCGAGCAAGACAAAATTTCGCAAAATACATGACATAGACCACGTTTCACTTCTACCCAAATAAAAAAAAAAAAAAAAAAAAAAAAAAAAAAAAAAAGACCAGATTGATTTAAAGTCCCTGGGGTGGAGTGGTGCGGGAGGAGAAATGTATGGGAGTTGAGGGTGTAGGGGAAGAATAAAACCAACCAAAAAAAAAATCCAAAACCGAAACAAAAAATCCAAAACCAACAACCAAAAACCCACCCTCATCCCAAAAAAGCCCCAAACTCGAAACTAAATCAATAAAGCCCAACTGCATTTCTACCCCAGCGTTAGTCTCCTTTATTGCCTTTCTCCTTGTTCATCTTTTTCATTTTCATTCTTCTGTTCTGAAACCAGATTTTGACCTGTCTCTCTGTGAGGTTTAAAATCCTAGCTACTTCGTAACGGCGGTCTCGGGTGAGGTACATGTTAAAGAGAAATTCCTTTTCCAGTTCCAGAGTTTGATACTTTGTGTAGGGACAACGCTTTTTCCTCGTTGAACGAGCGTGGATCCAGTTTGCTGCAGGGTTATCTGGAAGAAGGGAGGTATATAGAGAATGGAGGGCGGGGGGAGAGAAAGGTCGTTAAATTAATTTAACGAAGGATGGACTGTTTTCACAACTTTGGAGGAATTATCATAAAAGCCTTAATGCCCCAGTCTGTTTACTGTACAAATGATGTCTTGATGGTAGGTGGTTATGTGGAGTCTTTTATGGGTGCTTGTTGCTGCTTGCGCTGGGTTAGGCGTCTAGACGTTTTTATAGGTTAGTAAAACTATCAGTTTTGCACATTCGAGCCTTACAGGTTTCGGCAATAAATCAAAGGGGCAATTTCTTTCTTTCTCTCCTTCTCTCTTTCCTTCTTTTTCTCCCTCTCTCTCTGCCTCTGTTCCTCTCTCTCCCCCCGTTTTTTTCTGTTTTCTTTTTTTTTTTTTTTACTTACTTGGGTCAAGTTGCTGCTGTTTCTCCTCCTTCAGATCGCTGCCCGGGCTGGGGTTGTGGCTGCAAGCGGCGGGGTCCTTGGAGCTGCCGGCAGCCGCTTTCTCCCGGGGCTCCTGGAGGAAGGAGCTGCACGTGTACTCGGGCACACCGATCCCCTGGGACTCCCGAGATGAGGAGCACTCAGTCCTTTTGGAGGAGGAGGAAGAGGAGGAGGAAGACGAGGAGGCGGCTGCTCCCGTCTCCGGCTTTATCCCGTAGTGGCGCCCGTTGGAGGAGCCGGAGCTGGACGCAGAGCCGCCGCTGCTGCTGCTGCCTCCGCCGCCGCCGCCCGGGAAGCCCGGGAAGGGCTCAATCCAGGAGCGCACGTAGCGGCCAGCGTCGGCTGCCCCTAAATGGGGCTGGTGCATGTAGGGGTGGTAGATCCCGGTCATTGCCGCAGACGGCTGAGGGTGAACCGCGGACCAGGAGGTGGAGAACACCGTGGATTTTGGTGCAAAGCTACAAGAGGAAAAATCTGAACTCTCTGCAACACCTGATGGCCTGGAGGTCGCACTGTGACCTCCCTGGACGAATCTACTCCCGTAAACTTCTTCGCTTTCATGGCCTATGAGAGAATCGACATAATAGTTACTTATGGTGCCACTAGACGACATTTTAGGCTCCCCTCTTAGTCATATAAAAGGTTACACTGTTAACTGTATATGATACCCTCCCGGAGAACAATCGTAGTATTTTGCAGACTGCAACCCTCAACCATTGGTTGCGGAGCCCACGTGATCATATTTACCAATACTGCGAGTAAATCAATCCGCTAAACTGGGGCTGCTGTGATTAAAAAAAAAAATCATCATCAACAGCGGCCCCGCACAGCGCGCTGTACCGTCTGCGCGCCCACACCGCGCCGGGGCCGCCCGCCCGCCTGCCCTGCCCGCTTGCCCGCCAGCCCTGCCCGCCCTGCCCTGCCCAGCCCTGCCCGCTTGCCTGCCTGCCTGCCTGCCTGCCCTAGTTGCCCGCCCGCCCTGCTCGCCTTCGCTGCCCGCCTGTCTGCCCTGCCTGCCCGGGGCGCGGCGGGCGTGGCCGCGCTGGCAGCCCACGGCCGTGGCGGGTGCGGACTATTTCTTCACCTCCTTTGAGTGATTTCTGCCATTCATTTCTTAATCAATGAGAGACAGGGTGTTTAAATAAATCCAACAGCCTTGGCTTGCTAATCACACTCCAAGCTGCTGAGGGAACCCGCTGGGAAAGGGGGATTCTTGCCTGTAAAAACAAACCATCGCAAGCTGGGACTGTAACGACTTCTCATAAAACAAGAAAATGTTACAGTAAAAGCACATTGCGGTACTTCCATATTTCAGAGCATGTGCGGGTATTATTATCCGCTCCCCCCATCCCCGGACAGAAAGTTTCCATAGAAAGGATACACTTTTAAAAAGAGATGCCCATTGTGTTGTTTTAAAACAGGTGGAAGACCTCTGTAATGATTTTATGCCTTTCAATAAAAATTTTATGAGGTGTATTTGATTATAGATTAATGTGTCCCTAATAAAATGGACGGATGGAAACAGCAAAGCCTGTGTCTCCGAGCACAACTGACGTGTGGCTGAACACATGCTCCTGTATCTGCGGGCCTTTGGGGCTACACAGCTCCAAAATAGCCCCGTTACGGAGCCCAGGGCGGCCCGGGAGGGATGTGGGCAAAGGCAGTCCCGAGGAGGCCGCCTGGCCCCGCACTGGCAGCGCGGCGGCCGCGGGCAGGGACAGGGGCCACGGGCAGGCTCTGGCTCGCAGAGGGGAGCGGGGCTGCCGCTGACCCCCGCTCGCCGGCAGAGCTGTCTCCTCCGCCCCTAGTTCAGAAGGAGCCACGTTCAATGCCTACGTGCCCACTTTGCTTTCTTTTCCATCCCCTCCCTTCCCACTCCTCCCTCCCGGCCTGGTTTTTCTTCCCCGAGAGAAACGGTGCCCGGTTAGTATAGAAAACTGAATTACCCATGGTCTTCTGCCCACGCCTGCTCTCCTGGGCGAGGGATGGTGGCTGTGTCGGGATCTGGAGGAAACGTAGAGAGTTAGTGGCGAGCCCTCAGCACAGCCCGCCGGGGGCACGGACAGCAGCGCTGGGAAAACACTTCCTACTCGCGGGCCGTTATGAGGAAGGGACTGAAATTCCTGTTTATTTAATGATTTATTACTCTCTTAGGTTGTTTTCTTCCTTTTCTTCTTCTTTTTTTTTTTTTCTTTTCCTTTTCCTTTTTTTTTTTTTTTTTTTTTTTTTTTTTTTTTTTTGTCATCTGACTTTAGCATTTTCTTCTGCGATTTTATAACTTGTCTTACACTGTTCTCTAGAAGCAGGGTTTGTGGTATGGCGAAGAACTTGCCCTCACTTCACACAGATACAAGGTGGTAAAGTAGGAATATTAGAGTGAGCCTCCTTTTTTATATACGTTAAACACTTGGTATGGAGTCAGAAATTTACTTCCCACTGCCGAAACTTCTTTGGTGATGTAGCGAGCATCTTTAAAGGAAAAGAAAAGGCCGTTTAAATGTATGCAATATATAAATAGTTTTTTGGGGCATCGCTTTGCTGCTTTCGAAAGGACAACAAGCACAAAATACCTAAGTGCTTGCAGCTCTCGCAGCTTCAAAATGATTATGCCTTGCTTTGAGGAATATATACTTCTGCCCTACGAATAAACGTGAGCATGAGGAAGTATTGGCTTAAATTAAATATCAGCGGCAAGAGAGCAAACAGAATGCCACCAATAGAATTATGAGCAGGATCTGTCATCAAGTAGGACAACATTGGCACTATCTTGCTTTTAATTTCTGGATTTAGAAACAGCTTAGAGGAGGAATGGGAGTTGATTGTGAGCGAGCTGATTTCCCAGCGCCAACAGTAGCCACGCTATTTTTCCAGTACCGTTTGAAGGTGAAAGTATGTCCAAGTATTTGCACTTCAATTTGGAGTCATGTTCATTTGCAAGACATTTGCTTTTCTCCTTAGTATTTCTACTCACACGGGCATTCACTCGCTCTCACACACGCATGCCCTTCCTCAGCTTCCAGCGCAGAGCCCTGCTAATAACATTTTTCAGCTATGTACAGAAAGGGTTAAGAGTCGTGAACGTCATTAACTGGATGTGTGCTACTAAAATGGAATTGCGCGAAATAAAACAAGCTCTGAGCAAACAGAAACGGTGCAGGGTGACAAAAGCAGGTCTGAAGAGGCTGGTGTACTTTTGTAAGCAGGCTAGGGAGCATTTCTGCTCAAAAAAGCCAGCCTTGCCAGATGTTGGGAACATTTTGAGGGAATATTTTTCCATTCACCATCTTCTGAAAGCTCTTGAGCCGACCAAAACCTGAGCTCCTTAACACTTACTTATACCCAGCTTTGCATTTGTTGTGTTTCTTGGAGTTGTTTGGGTGGTTTTTTTTTTTGTTTTGTTTTTTTTGTTATGTTTCTTTTGCTAGCGAGCAAAGACACGAAATCAAAGCCTACACATTGCAAGCACGCAGTGACTGATATTTTTTAAATCAACATACGAACGTCAAATAAAATGACACACATATTCCTGACAGCTTGTAGTAGAAAGATTTTTTTATCACTTACCATTTACGAGTTGATTGGATGAGGACGCCCAGTTTAAGCCACAATATTTTACAACATTTTTTTTCCTTTCTCTCTCTTTTTTTTTTCATTCAGTTTGTCAGACTGTGAACATCACACAACATTTTATCAATTAATCAGTTGTTTACAGACATTTATAAATTGATTAGGTTTACATGATTTCCCGGCCCAGTCTCCACTCTACCCCTAAAAAAAAATAAAAAAAAAAAAAAAGGAAGGGGGAAAAAAGGAGGAAAAGAAAGAAAGAAAACCAGGCAGACACACACAAAGACCAGAATATGGTAAAGAAGGTACACCAGTCCAAAAAGCTGTGGATAGAGAAGGATCAGGACACCAACCTGGATCTCTGCGTTAAACATTTGTAGAAAACCAAAGGAACCGCAGTAGTTTACAGAGTTTATTGCATTATACATGCAAACAGAACATGCACAAGAAGGACAATTTGCTTCTGAACGACTACTATTCCACATATGCACCACAAGGAAATGTCTACAATGGAGAAGAAGGAAATATTCCATTTTACGAAGGACAATCTCTAAGCTCATTTGCGAGAATAGTTACATTATAATGTGCTTCTCTTTCCCCCCGCCCCCAGTTTCCCCCTGCTCTTTTTCTGAAAGTATTGAATGTACTCAAAATGTTATGGTCCGTGTAACAGCCCCACATAAATACCATTTTGTTAGTAAAAACATGAAAAAGTCACATTGCTTGGATGTTCGACAGTTCCAATAAGTTAAGACCAAATGATAATATTCAATAATAGTTACCCTGCATTACGATGAGAACAAAAATAAATTACACGTGCTAGGTTTTATATATACTCATCATAGTAATACATATTCACTTGCAGCGCTAAAAGAAGGACGAAGAGTCACATTCTATCAGAAAATAAAACAAAACAAAACAAAAAACTGGAAAATGCCGGGTTTTGCCAGAGTCTCTCCTGCTTTTAGCAAGTGGCGGTGCTGTGCCCACTCCTCACTGGTGTCCCCCCGGGGTTAGGGTTTAAGAGAAGGTCAGATTAGCGGTCAGTTCCCGGATTCGGTTCTCTCTGCTCATCTTCTTGAGCTTCATTCTGCGGTTTTGAAACCAAATCTTGACCTGCCTGTCAGTGAGGTTTACGCTCTTACTGATCTCTAGACGGCGCTCTCGAGTGAGATACATATTGAATAAGAACTCTTTCTCTAATTCCAGTGTTTGGTGTTTAGTATAAGGACACCTCTTCTTTCTGCCACTCTTTGCAGTTAGCCAATTGCTTGTTGGAGTATCAGACTTGATTTCCTCTATCAAAATCAAAGAAGAAGAAAAAAAAATCAAAAATACCTCAGGCTGTTAGAGTGTACCCTTGGCCATGACCCCTTCTGTGCAGTGTCTGGCAGATATGGTGGATGTGGGCATTAAACACGGTTCGGGTAAGGTGTGGGCACAGGGAGGGGACCTGCTGCCAGGCTGGGCTCGCCCGTCCCCACACACGGCACCCTGCTCTGTGGTCGCCCCGCTCTCCTGCCCCTGCCAGTAAGGGTCTCTCAAGTTTTCGGCCGGCGTTTAACATTTCAACAGTATTTAACCTGCTATCCGCCCCATGAACACATCTTAACGGGTCTAGCCTCGCCATGGCCGCCTCGGGCTCCCACGACACTTGCCACCAAAATATTCCAATTACAAAATAGTCTCACACTCTATTTTGAAGCAGTATCCCCACACACATCAGCTGAATCACACGAACACACCTATAAACAGATATAGACAGTTTCCCAGCCAGAATGATATACAAGAAATTTCCACCCTCTGTCTCGGATTTTTTTTTCCATTTTCCTTTTAGTTTTTTTCCCCCCACCAGAAATAAATTTGTCCCACATCAGCCTAGACCTGGGCTACTAAATATAATTCAGATAAAGCAATTCTTAATGCATACTTAGGGTAAAAATCGACCTAGAGGTTGCAAAGTACATTTTGATAAGAAAAAAAATCCCGTTTTTGGATTCTTCGATACACGCCGTTCAAAAGAAAGGCTCTAGTGCACTTTCAGAGGGAAATAAAATCAGATTACCGCCGCCCTTAG